GTTGCAGGATATAAAATTAACACACAGAAATCCCTTGCATTCCTATACACTAACAATGAGAAAACAAAGAAATTAAGGAAACAATACCATTCACCATTGCAATGAAAAGAATAAAATACTTAGGAATAAAGCTACCTAAAGAAACAAAAGACCTATATATAGAAAACTATAAAACACTGATGAAAGAAATCAAAGAGGACACAAACAGATGGAGGAATATACCAGGTTCATGGATTGGAAGAATCAATACTGCGAAAATGACTATACTACCCAAAGCAATCTATAGATTCAATGCAATCCCTGTCAAGCTACCAACGGTATTTTTCACAGAACTAGAACAAATAATTTCACAATTTGTATGGAAATACAAAAAACCTCAAATAGCCAAAGCTATTGGCTATCTTGAGAAAGAAGAATGGAACTGGAGGAATCAACCTGCCTGACTTCAGACTCTACTACAAAGTTACAGTCATCAAGACAGTATGGTACTGGCACAGAGACAGAAATATAGATCAATAGAACAAAATAGAAAGCCCAGAGATAAATCCACGCACCTGTCGACACCTTATCTTTGTCAAAGGAGGCAAGAATATACAATGGAGAAGAGACAACCTCTTTAACAAGTGGTGCTGGGAAAACTGGTCAACCACTTGTAAAAGAATGAAACTAGAACACTTTTGAACACCATACACAAAAATAAACTCAAAATGGATTAAAGATCTAAATGTAAGACCAGAAACTATAAAACTCCTAGAGGAGAACATAGGCAAAACACTCTCTGACATAAATCACAGCAAGATCTTCTAGTACCCACCTCCCAGAATATTGGAAATAAAAGCAAAAATACACAAATTGGACCTAATGAAACTTAAAAGCTTTTGCACAATGAAGGAAACTATAAGCAAGGTGAAAAGACAGCCTTCAGAATGGGAGAAAATAATAGGAAATGAAGCAACAGACAAAGAATTAATCTCAAAAATATACAAGCAACTCCTGCAGCTCAATTCCAGAAAAATAAGTGACCCAATCAAAAAATGGGCCAAAGACATAAACAGACATTTCTCCAAAGAAGACATACAGATGACTAACAAACATATGAAAAGGTGCTCAACATCACTCATTGTTAGAGAAATGCAAATCAAAACCACAATGAGGTACCATTTCACGCCAGTCAGAATGGCTGCTATCCAAAAGTTGACAAGCAATAAATGCTGGAGAGGGTGTGGAGAAAAGGGAACCCTCTTACACTGTTGGTGGGAATGCAAACTAGTATAGCCATTATGGAGAACAGTGTGGAGATTCCTTAAAAAAACTGGAAATAGAACTGCCATATGACCCAGCAATCCCACTCCCGGGCATACACACTGAGGAAACCAGAACTGAAAGAGACACATGTACCCCAATGTTCATCGCAGCACTGTTCATAATAGCCAGGACATGGAAGCAACCTAGATGCCCATCACAGACGAATGGATAAGAAAGCTATGGTACATATACACCATGGAATATTACTCAGCCATTAAAAAGAATACATTTGAATCAGTTCTAATGAGGTGGATGAAACTGGAGCCCATTATACAGAGTGAAGTAAGCCAGAAAGAAAAACATCAATACAATATACTAACACATATATATGGAATTTAGAAAGACGGTAATGATAACCCTGTATGCAAGACAGAAAAAGAGACACAGATGTATAGAACAGACTTTTGGACTCTGTGGGAGAAGGTGAGGGTGGGATGATCTGAGGGAATAGCATTGAGACATGTATATATTATCAATTGTGAAACAGATCGCAAGTCCAGGTTTGATGCATGAGACAAGTGCTCAGGGATGGTGAACTAGGATGACCCAGAGGGGTGGGATGGGGAGGGAGGTGGGAGGGGGCGTTCAGGATAGGGAACACATGTAAATCCATGGCTGATTCATGTCAATGTATGGCAAAAACTGCTACAATATTGTAATTAACCTCCAACTAATATAAATAAAGGAAAAAATAAATAAACTATGTATATTTGTGATATTTTACACAGATTTTGCCTGTATGAAGCATTAACATTTATAATAAACTTAAAAGATATATTTTCAAAAAAAAAAAAGAAGCAAAGCAGAGGTCTCACCTCTCCCCCTCCAAGGGGAGGCGATGACTCAAAGGATGTGAATGTGGGGAAGGTTTTCTGGGGAACTGTCTGCCATAGTACTTATCACAGCAGATGAGAAAGTCTACTTAACTTGGCAGCACTCCACAATTCACCACAGAAATGTTGTCAGGTTGCCTGGGAACCTCACTTAGTATGTTGTACACTGATGATGATGTGTGTGTGTGAGTGTCCGTCGTTTCAGTCATGTTCGGCCCTTTGTGACCCCATGAACTGTAGCCCGCCAGGCTCCTCTGTCCATGAAGATTCTCCAGGCAAGAATACTGGAGTCAGTTGCCATGCCCTCCTCCAGGGGATTTTCCCAACCCAGGGATTGAACTCACATCTCTTGCATCTCCTGCATTGCAGGCAGATTCTTTTACCACTGACCCACCAAGGAAGCCCATGCTGATTATATTTATATATATAATTTCCATATGCCTGTTTTATTTCCTGTGCATTTTTATTGTGCTTATAAATAAAAGTCTTCTGCAGCTCACAGGTAATAGATGCTACAGGCAGACTAAAAAATAAGCCCAAGAATGTTTAAATCATCTGTAATTCTAAATTACCTGAGTTGCCCAGAATCATGCAATTTCTCCTTCTCTCTTATCCCTTCTGCATGTTCAAAAATAACTCTAAAAACTGGTTTGGGGACATGATGAGAATCTTTGGTACCAGAAAGCTGAATATTAAAATGGATGCTGTTTTTTTCCCCCAGATGATATATTTAATACTTGCACTATATTATGTGTCTTCCCATGTGGGAATCTTTTCAGAAGCCAGATAGATTTTTAAAGCATAAATCCATCCTCATGCTTAGATAGAATGAAAATGTTTCATTGGCATTTCAAATTAGCCTTCCTTTTTGCATGCCATTCTTCCTAGCATAGTGATTTGTTACCAACATTACATGCTTCTCCCAATCTCTCTACAATATAATGTACATTCCTTTCAAATGATGGTGAATGGTCACTTCTTTAGCCAAATCGGTCTATTCTGTTTTCATCTTTTCTCAGAAATTACCCCTCTTGAATCATTTTATTAGCTTTCTGTCCTCTTTTCTGTTTTGATTTCAGTTTCATGATTTGTAACATAATAGCTGCTAGGATGAAAAAGCAGATGTGCACAAAGAAGAAAATACCCACCAAAACATTAGGATATTTCACCTGTTGATGAGAAGGGTGTACACAAAAAGCTATTGATCCTAGGCAAGGCCAGGCCAAAGCAAAGTTGTTTTGTGTATGTCTTCCAAATCTCATTTCCTATTTTTGACAACCTTCCTTTAAGAGTTAAGAGGGCTTGGTTACTCAACAATGCAAAGGTCCCCTTCACTGCTGAGTATTGGTTATGGTGTTGTTTGAGTGTTTGAGTCAGCTTTTCTTAAGAATTTATATAACCTAAGATGCCAGTGCTGCTTTTTCCCTGATGTTTATTAAACAATTGACCTTAATTACATTCAGACTTTCTGGTTTTTATCCATGTCCCTCTTTTTACTTTTCAGCAAAGTTTGCATTTATGATTTGCTTTCAAATCCCATGATCCCACCCTGGTGCCTCACGCTCCAGGCCTCCTCTGCCCAGCCCTTCACTTCAGGGCAGTGAGAGCTCAGGCTCCAAGAGGCTGTATTCTGGAATAGAAGGCACCCAGCTGCAGAGGCAGATCAGACTTTAACTCTGCCATTCATTCATTCATTTGTTCATTCCTCCATTATTTTCTGAGCATGTGGGTACCAAGTTCTAGGACTAGGGACTGTGTGGGATATACTGTGACCTTGTCCAGTTTTTCTCTGTAAAAAGGGGGAGATGACAAAGCTGTTTGGAGGATCAGAGATAAGGCATGTAAAGCACCCAGTAAAATGCCTGGTACACAACAGCAATGCTCTGTAGACAGCAGCGAGAGCTATACCTAACTCTGCTTCCCCTACCCCATAACTCCACTGCCAGATCCAACTTCAGCAGATCACAGAGCAGATCTGCTCTGTGTTTCTAGAATCACTGAGTCCTTTTTGTTCCCCGCATTCCCTTTTCTTTCATATGAGACTAGGAAAAGCAGTCATTTTGTATATACTGAGTAGCCAAGGATGCAGAGAAATGTACTACCTTTAAGATAAGGTAGCATCTTACCTTCACACCTGATGTGAAGAGCAGACTCACTGGAAATGACCCTGATGCTGGGAAAGATAGAAGGCAAAAAGAGAAGGGAACAGCAGAGGATAAGGTGGTTATAGCATCATCAACTCAGGGCACAAATTTGAGCAAACTCTGGGAGATAGTGGAAGACAGAGGAACCTGGAGTGCTGCAGTTCATGGGGTCACAAAGAATCAGACGCAACTGAGCGACTGAACAACAACATTTAAAATAATACTTGATGCAAAAGAATCCTCTTTGCTCCTTCTGTTCAACCACAGTTGTTCTTCTGGACTCTATCCTCATCATCCAATATTTTCTGGCACTTTCAAGATTATAGGGCTTCTAGACATTCTAAACCTGGTACCTAATTCCAAATCTTGATAAGAATTGGGAGTCTAGGTTATATCTAGCAGTACAAATCACAACTCTTAGAAAAAAGGGAAGGGAAAGTGATTGGGCTTCTAATAAAGGCTCTGGACTTAAAGATTTCCCATATATTTAATCTTCAGAACAACCCTGGGAGGTTGACTCATTGAGAGTCAACAATTTGCTGAGTCTCACAGAGTTCTTAGGGGCAGAGCAGAGATTTAAACCCAGTAGTCTCTGACTCTGAAATCAGTGGGTAATTCATATTGCTTCCATAGAGATATAGACCGTATCTGTAATTCATTTGTCTCCAAATGTCTTTATTCACAGACTGTCCTAAATTTTTGTTTTTTTCTTGAGCAGATGGTAGACCTCAGCAACAACGTGCTGACAGCCATCCTGCCAGTGGTAGTCATGGCCCTAGAACTTCCCCACCTGGAGGCTGACCTGGCTGATAACCCGTGGCAATGTGACTACAGCCTGGCAGTCTTCCAAAATGTTATTTCTGAGTCCTGGAGGAAAAGGTGGAATGCTGTTTGCAGTGAGTCCTTAGGTAAGTCAGGAGTACCTCTCCTCTCAGAAGTGGTTCCATTTAAACAGAAAAAAAAGTACACAAAACATTTAGTGACATTTGAAACAATGACAGCCACCTCAGGAGCAAGAGTGCATTAGTCATCGTTGGGCTATATCACAGAACAATTGTTGGTACCTGTTTTCCTCAATTCATGAACAATTTTCTTCACATGGTCAGGAAACACTGGATTTGGTCAAAACCAGAAATTTCACCAAGAGAGAATGTTTCTCTACAACCCCCGGATGTCATATTTTTATCCAAAGGAGTAACAAAATAATCAAGGAACTTCTAAAACTTGAACCATACTGATTTAAGATACTTGCTACCCCTCTGAAAATATAACATAAACAAAACACACAAATTTCAAAAGTATATTTTTCTTTGCTTTTTTAATCTGTCACTCTCCCAAACTGCTAAAATATGTGACTGGAATTGAATATTCTGGAAAGGTTTTTGTCCCCCACCCCCACCCCCACTATTAACTATCAGGCTTCTCTGGTGGCTCAGCAGTAAAGAATCCGCCTGCCAATGCTGGAGATGTGGGTTTGATCCCTGGGTTGGGAAGATCCCTTGGAGAAGGAAATGGCAGCCCAGTTCAGTATTCTTGCCTGGGAAATCCCATGGACAGAGGAGCCTGGCAACTACAGTCTATGAGGTTGCAAAGAGTCAGACACAACTGAGCACTGTTGTTATGAACTATCTTGGCTAAATCTAAAATCAAACTCCTAACTGGGAAAAAAGAGAGAAATGGATTTCTCTCTCTCTCTTTTTTTTTTTTTAATGAGTTCTGGCCTCTGCTCTACTCATGACTGCTATTGAGTAGAGACATGGCCATGCTTAACGGGTTTAGGAGAAATCCATAATGATGAGAGAAGTCTTAATGGTGTCAGCCACACTTGTTTCATCACTCTGTAAAAGCCACACCAGCCTTCCGAGTGTGGAGGGCAGAATGTCAGGAACCAATAGAAAAACCTGAATATTTTTGCTGTTTACCAGCACTGAGGAAGGTGAGGAGATGATATAACAAACACAGGTGGGGCCAAGGCAGATTTTGCAGGGGGCTGATACAATGTCCTTACAGATGTGCAGTAAGTAGGTAAGGATGTGGAGATAGGAGGGGCAATGTGACTGGACCCACAGCCTGGCTTCCTTCCTCCTGTGGGCAGGAGTCAGTCAGGAAGCCTCAGAAACACAGCCTCTGGGCCTTGGAGCCTCAGACCCTTGGGGCCTCAGACCTGAGCCTGAGAGCCTCGTGTAAATGTGCACAGAGCCTTACACACACTGTTGGCATTAGACAGCCAATCAGTCAATCAGCCAGTAAAATTGCTAATCATGTAAAACAGATTTTAAATCTAGCTAGATAAGGACTGAGGCTTCCCTGGTGGCTTAGTGGTAAAGAATCTGCCTGCAAGTCAGGAGATGTGGGTTTGATCCCTGGGTCAGGAAGATCCCCTGGAGGAGGGCATGGCAACCCACTCTAGTATTCTTGCCTGGTGAATCTCATGGACAGAGGAGCCTAGCGGGCTACAGTCCATGGGGTTGCAAAGAGTAGGACAGGACTGAAGTGCCTGCACAGCCACACAGGGAGATAAAGGACTGAGGACTCACAGATGCTTTTAAATCACTGGAATCTCATTTCCATTCTTAGGGAAGGAGGATGCACACTGGTGGACCCTCACAAGCAGAGTGTCCAGAGAGACTCGCCTTCCTCACGCTGATCTGAGTCATATGAAAACCATCATAGGGAGCAAAGCTGAGAGGGCCCCGGAAGTGCGCTATTCCATGCTGGAGAAGGACACTGCAGACTCTGATGTTGGTGACAGGCCGAGACAGCTGCTAAAACGGGTTAGGAGGGCCGAGGATGTGCACGCTGCTGGCAGAAAAGAAGACTCTTCCCAGGACCTGGTCCTGGCCATCTGCCTGTCGGTGTTCATCACGTTCTTCGTGGCTTTCTGCCTGGGGGCTTTTGCGAGACCTTATGTGGACAGACTGTGGCAACAGAGATGCCGGAAAAAAAGTCCAAGTTCAGCGTCAGGGAACGTGTATTCAAACCAGGCCTTCTATGATGAAATCGAAGATGTGGTAAACCTACAGCAGCCGAGGATGGATCTGCAGCAAACTGTCCATCTAAACCTCTATGAGAACCAGGCCCCACGTGCCGCTGTGGTTCCTGCAAGAACAGTGGCACCGAGCAGAAGGGAGGCTGGCGGCCGGCAGGACAGGGAACAACGCGGGGTCCCCACTGGGGCAGAAAGTGGGATGGATAAGATGCCCCCAAATCACAGTGCAGCCCAGCGCGTTCTCTACGGACAGCCAAACGCCCATGACACCCAACTCACGTCGGCGGGATGGGACCACATCTACAGGAATGATGTTCCTGGAGAAGGCAGCTACAACACTGTGGCCAGGCAAGTTTCCCTCGGTGAGCATTCAGTGGGCATCCCTGCAGTGTCTGCCGGAATACAGACCAGCCCTGGCTCAGACCATAAGGATTCCAATGAACTAGGCCCACCCCGCCCCAGGGAAACAACAGCGCCTCTCTGCCAAAGGCCAGCGCACACACAGGCGCTGAGCCCTGGGGCGGAGAGCAGAGGGGCTCCCCCACACTTCCCTTCGGAGTTTTCTAAGGAGAACGGGCAGAGCCCACAGCAGCAGAGCCTCCAGGGTGCCGGTGCCCAGGGACAACCTCCCGCCCACTACGAAGCGGCCGCGCTCAGTGACGCGGGAGACCCGTCCCCACTCGGCGTCCCTCCAGGATGCGGCGGGGAGCTGCCAGTGACTCCAGCTTACCAGGAGCCCACGCAGAAGCACACTCCTGACGCTCAGTACGAGGTGGGCTCTGACTCCGATTCTGAGGAAGGGTCTTTATTTACTCTGAGTTCAACAAGTTCAGAAGACTGGAGAGATGTGGCGGAAGAGGAGGCACGTGGGGAGCAGGGCTGGAGAGCCGGGGAGCCCCCTGGGGACCAGGTCTCCTGTGAGAGGAGGGACAGTGTCGGGCCATTTGAGAGTCCTGGGAACATCGCCTTCCAGAAGACTCTGAGGAAATGTGAAAATCGGGAAGATCATTTTGGGAAAACTCTCATTTCTGACCCAGACTCTCATTTGTGCGAGACTCATCTGGAAGGTGCCTTTAACGTCAACAAATATGAGGATTCCTTGCCCCAGTCATCAGGCAGCAGTCCGATCAGTGAGGCGGTCCCAAGCGTGTCCATTTACAATTACATCTCAGCGCTTCAACCCAGCGCAGTGGAATGGCAGTACTCACTTAGAGACTTGGAATTTGCAGATGTGGATGCTTGACCGCAAACACCACCGTGCTCTGCCAGAGTTTCCTCAGATCCTGACAGGTGTCTGTCGTGAAGGAGACACAGATGTTTGTAAAGAACTTTATGTTCAAGGAATAGACACAGCTCAAAACAGTATTTCTTCCAAGGTCACTGCAGGGCAGAACTTGAGAGCCTCACAACAAGATTTTGAAGAGGACAACAAGAATGGACACTGACGCGAATGAGGGGTGTGTGTGTCCTCTTGGGGACAATGATTCCAGAAAGGTTATAAGTGAAACACCATTTGTGAAGGGGTAAGGGGCCTTTGGAAGATGGTTTCAAGAGCCAGGTACCACTATTACAAGTGCTTCCAATAAAGCTAGCTCACTGAGCACATAGGAGCACTTCAGTGATAAAGACTGGGGTCAGCACTCAAAGCTGAATCAATGAACTAGATTCTCTAAATTCTTCTCTATGTTTAGTTAATTCTAATATAAAACTGCCATTCACAAGACATGGGTCATTTAGGTAGGGAAGCATTGAGATACCTAAACATCAAAGGTTCCAATTAAATTTTACACTAAAATTTAACACTGATGGTATTGCAGTTAGAAAAAGGTGATTCCAATTTTTATACTCAAATGCAGACCCAGAGAAAGCTGATGGGAGTTAGCTGTCCATGTGAGGACCAGATCTGCTATGACAAACACAAGGATGTTCAACCTGAAAATCAAAGGGGATTCAAATAACATTTTTAGTGCATATTGAAGCACTTAGATGGAGCTCCTGAGGAGATTTTAATGAATTTTGCACAAAGAACAGCATAGCTTTTTGGAGTTTGATTAGAAAACTACAAAACTGGAGGGATTCAGAGCAATTCTAAATATTTGTTTAAAAAATGTTAATGGAGACTCCATTTTGTAGAACAAAGTGTAAATTAAAAGTTAATTTTCAGGAAGAACATTTATGTTTCTTGTAAAAGAAAAAGGTACTCCACCATTCTGTTTGCCTGGTAAATATCTATGCTGTTGTCAATTTTGGCTATGTCTGGCTTGGTCCCAGACCCTCTTGTCTTCTCTGTTTCCTTTCCCTGAGTGAGCTGTTACTTGTCCTGGCTTTTAATTGTTATTTTCTGCTTCTGTAACTCCAGCTCTGAAATCTTTCTGGAACTTTAAACTCATATCCAGCTGCCTGTTGGATATCCTCATAGGCAGTTCAGTCTAAGCATGTCCAAAGTGAAACTCAGTAGCAGCCCCTAATCCTCTCCATCACCACCCCCAGTCTGATCCTCCATTTCACTGTCTGCCCCGTTTCTCCATCCAGGAACCTGGGGGTCTTCCTCTCCTTGCTGCCCACATCTAATTATTTTCATTGAGCACAATCCCTTCTAGCCCCTCGATATCTGTCGAGTCTGTTCTGTCCTCTCTGTCCACACAGCCCCAGCTCCAGCGCTCACCTTGACACGGCCCCCAGGTCTGTGATGATAGCACGCCGACTGGTTTCTTTAGCACTGGTCCGCCGCGCCTTTATCATTCCCACACCGCAGCCAGGGAGCGGCTCCTGAGACCCAAGAGTGATCACATGCCTCCCATTCTTTGTGGATGCAGTCTTTTCTGTTTTGTTTTTTTCTTTTTTAATAGCACCACATAACTCCCTGTCTCCAGACCTTTGTCCACATCGCATCTGCCTGCAATGTTCTTTCCAACCCCACCCAACAACCTCACCACCAAACAAGCCCCCCTTTAAGCTCAATAGACCCTACCTGAGTCTCAGCCTTAACTGTCACTTCCTCATGGAAGCCTTCCTGGACCCCTAGACTCAGTTGGATTTTCCTGTTGCAAACTCTCATCACACAAGCATTGCCCTTCACAAGGAGAGCTTATTGCAAGTAAAGTTGAATGATTATTTGTGTGATGGTTGATTTACTGTCTGTCTGCCTCTTCTATACTCTTATCTCCACAAGAACAACAATGTGTCTTGTCTCCTAAAGGTATGACATTTAATAGGTTCTCGATATATGGATTTATTAAATAAATCAATGAAAATGAACTCTTTAGTATTGATCTGGCCCCACTTTCCATCCGACTTTTCATGTGGTATTTATCTCACTGTGCAGTATCTCACTCTGAAATCCACAGTTACAGACACACCAGACTATGTCACCCTTGCCCACTCTGCTCCCCACATTTAGGGGCACATCTGGCCTTTCTGCTAAGTCCACCTCCTCTGCCTGGAAGATGTCTCTGCTGTTTTTGAGACACTGTTTAAGGTCACCTCCCCCAAGAGCCTTTCTCAGCTCATTCCACCCAAGTAGAATGGACCACTTTCTTCCTCCCTCCAGCCCCTGCTATAGTGCTGTGTGCTCTGGTGAAAACAAGGCTTCACATGGCTTGACTGAGATCTACTGAAGACTCTTCTATGGGCTGGATGAAGTTCATTACCAGCATAGGGTCTATGAAGCTGAGAATCATCTCAGAGTTTGCAGTTACTTTATAAAGTGAAAAATTACTTTCTATTTCAGCAGCATTGAAGAAAAACAGTATATATGGCCTTGACTATTTTTGTTTGTTTTTGTTCACACCTCCCAAAAAAAAAAGCTTCTGGTAATGCAGCATAAACATCACAGGCATTGCAGTTAAGTAGGTCTGTATCTCAGCAAGTGCTCATAAAAAATTTTTTTAAACCCCTCTCAATATGCCTGCTTGGACAGAGGAGCCTGGAAGGCTACAGTCCCACGGGGTCACAAATGAGCAGTTAACAGACAATACGCACAAGCTTGGCTGACGCTGCTTGATGTGAGTGAGATTTGAGGCCTGCTACTTCCAGATTTCCAAAATGTCTCACCTTTGGGGTCTGCCCCCAAATTGGCTCAAACTTCAGAATTCCTAAGTTCCTTAGATACCCTTTACCCCAGTTTCACTTATTCCAATTATGCCTCTAGTTCTATTATGACACAGATGACCTTTCAAACATCTCACTTTTCATTAAAATAACATTTTTTAATTTCTTTAGCAGAGTAACTCAAATTTTTATCAGCTTAACAATTCCATGATATTTTCATCTAAGAAAACATTGGGAAAACCCCTGGCATAATTAACCTTTACATGTTTCTAAGACTACGAAACACATCTTGGACACATGGCTGTATAAACAACATATGAAACATTAAAATACTTTTCTTAAAAAAGCAACTAGTGCCACACTTACTTGTCTTTTTGGTGTTATTTCAGGTTCAGTAGAGTCATTTTGGTTCAAGTTGACAAAAATTTCCCCTACCCCTCTAGAATGGTTCAAGATGTAAGTCCTCAGGCCTCTTTCCCCTTCTGTCCTTGGGAAAGATTCATCTTGCTCTTTCAGTGGCCATGCAGGGTGAAGAAGAAAACAAAGGAATAACCGCTGGACCCACCAAACAGCAGGTAGATATAAGCTAAGAGACATTGCCGTATTTCCAGTTCATTTGAAAGACAAAATCCATTCGACTCAAGGCTACATGTTTTTCAGACCCAAGGGAGATGGAAGTGAGAGGGGAAGAAGGAGTTCCTTTTGTCTATGAATTTCACTAGAACTAGATTACTATGTCATCAAATGAAAAGTGGCCAGCCACAGACTTAAAACAGGAGGTCTTACTAGCAAGTAGCAGGAAAGTGTGCTGTCTTTCTGTTGCCTGAAAGTCTTATATTCATGAGAAATTGAGGGCAAAAACTGTCTAAACATTGTTTCTGCACAAACCAGCAAGTTTATATTTTTCAAATATCCATGTTAATGTTCTACTACTATCTGAAAATCTAGGTGTTGTGGGCAGTGAAAGTGTTACTGAATTCTAAGGCTCTGCAGACTCTATATACTTTAACATACTCAATATAACAAGCATACTTCAGTCACCGTAATGAACAAAGACATCCCAAACCTGGGCACGAAATCTTTCAGTCTTTTGTTGGTAGGTATTTTGTCTGCCTTTGTGTGTATATGTGTCTGCAGTCCTGAAGCAATGTGTGCACTTACACATGATAACATCTTGGCTCGTTTGAATAGATGCAACCCAAATATAACACTTGTTATTGGAAAAGAAAATTCTTATTTTTCTTTGAATGTCGTTACTGACTGGCTTTTCATGACTCAATATATTTTTATTGACCATAATTTTTGGTTTTATTTTTAGTTTTCGATACTTAGATTGTTGCAATTTGGTCAATCAATCCTCCTCTAGGCTAGTTTCTCCATCTTTCTCCAGAATTTCTAAAGCATCATTACTTTCTGACAATAAATGTTCCAAGTCTGTCTAGAATGTTACCCCAAGAATGGAATCAGTTTCTCTCCAAAGAGACCTGCTTTCATTGGTGGAGAATAAATAGTTCTGGTTTGTCTGCTATAATGTGAAATGTGCATTAATGAAAAACCTCATGTTTTACAAAAATACACATTAAAAGTCATGGGGCTTATGGGATAAATAAAGTTGAGGAGACCACTCAAAAGATAGGCAACCTTGTGACTAAAGTGCTAAGAAAAACAATCACTGGTCCCTTGGCAATCACCTTGGACCACACATGTAAGCAGCGAGACATGGCTAGAGGCTACCAGAGTATACATTAAAAATTCACATAAACACTGAATGGCAATACTGGTCACTGTTCAGTTAGAGCAGAGCCAGGAGATTGCTGGGACAATCCATCCGGAACCAGCTCTAAGCGAGGAACTTCCCAGGCACAGGAGCCGAAAGTGACACAAAGCTGGGGTCCGCCTCTCTGGGCTCCCACAGAGAGCCTGGTGCAGCGGCTCATTTTCAATGTTCACAAAACACAGAGGAATCCTACTCCCAGTACAGCTCTGCGTGGTGGGAGTGTTTTCCTTTCTGCTGAAGGTTGCAATTCTACTCCTGCTCTTCTGGCACTCCTCACCTAGAAAAATCTGATATGACCAGGCTTAACTTTTAGGTTAGACTGACATCATTCTCTAATCACACACGAACTAATTCCTATGGCAGAAACATGCTTTGCGAAGCCATCGATTTCTTCTCTCTGTGTACATGCAGGTATC